ATTCAAGCGATTACTTTAATGTTTCGTCAACGCGATGGTTCGTGGACTGTCGGAAGATTCGATAATGATAGTGCTCTTGAGTGGATTTATTTATCTCCTCCTATGTCCGTTGTGTATTTGCATTTATCGTTGGAGGCAATTACACCGGTCACACAATTTGAGGATTTTACTCCTTATTACGGGGGAATGGATGAGGGCACGTCGACTTCTCATCTACGTAATTTTGGAGAAGGGACAAGCTCACCAATTAGAGAAAGGGCAAATGAGGATGGGGAAGAAAGTGACGAAGAGTTCGCACTTGTTTGTCCCATTTTTGTTGCATTTTTTGTGCTCGTTTCGCTTTTTCTTTCCCCCCATTTTAGGTCGTTTCTTTCGTTTTTAGTCTGTTTCGAGTTTTATTATGTGTTTTCCTTCATTTTGAGTCTTTAAGTGTTTTTCGTTTGTTTTTCCGGTTGTTTTGTGTTTTGTCGTTTTTGGTGTGTAGGTCGGGAGCTTCGGGCGAACTTTATCTTCAGGAAAAATTGGTTTCGAGAGCATAATTGGATAGAGGGGTTCGTTAGCGACGCGTAGGAAAAAACGAAACTCAATTCCGAGTTCGGACGAACCTAAACGAGCCCGAAACATTAAGCCGCGCGCAACAGGCCAATTTTCTTCACCGCGGGCAGCGGAGGAATCCCGCGGCCACGGAGCCCTTCTGTAGCTGAAATCTCGCGGTCTCGGAGCTTCCCGCGGCCGCGGAGGTCGCGACCAGAATTTTAAAAGCTAGATTTTGTTCATTTGTTCGAGTACTATGCAAGTTGTTTTTAAAAGGGTTTTCGGTTATCATACTTGATTGTTGAATGTTGTTGATGAGTGACACCTCAACTTGCAATTGATTTTCAATTGGACATGATTCATTCGGGTTTGATGTTGTTAATTCTTAAAGATTAGTCGATTAACTACCTTCTAGTCCAATTTAATCGACTCTTAGAACCGAAAGGGGAAGAGTTGATCGATCTAGGCTCGTACAAAATAGGCTTGTTCGTAACTGTATTGCCTATGTGTTAAACGACTCGTGAATTTGCCGTTCACATTTATCCTCTTGTTACGAAAAGTTATTGAGGATGAATCTCTGAACGAGTTGGTTATTCGAATCCTTTAACCGAATGATCACTTGTCTGTTAATTGCATTTCGAATCGAAACAAATATCCCCGACTCCCTAGCTTCTTTATCATTGTTTGTTTCATGTTTTTGAGTTAATTTATGTTTTATGCATTTTCTGTTATTTTCTAGTTGACCGCTCAAACCCCAATCGTGATTAGAGTGTTTAAGATTTATTTTGCTTTTGTGTTCGATCAACATCGAATCTAGATTCCGAACCGCCTTCCTTTGAGAGATCGACCCGGGGAACGAATCTTTCGATTCGGTACTCGGTAAAAAAATAATTTGCTACAACAACACTCGGTGAAGATGACTTCACAGACGAGACCTCAGAAACCGAATCAGATAGATCGGTGAATGAGGAGAGTGAATCTGAGTTCATTGAAGAAGAATTTCCCTTTCCTAGTGGTGGTCGGCACGTATACCGCGAGATGGGTGAATGGGACCCATCCAGGATAGATAAGGACGAGTATGCTATTCCACACTGGAATGGCGACATTGAGACCATATGTTTGGGTATAGTTTTTCAGAGCAAGCAAGAAACCCAAATGGCTTTAATGGGTTGGAACGTCGATAGATTGCGGGAGATTCGGGTAAATGATTCAAATCAAAAGTCATTCAAAGTGGTCTGCAGATCTAGTGAAGATCTGCCTTGTGTGTGGAAGGCTCGGGTGACTAAGTCCAGGCGGGTTCATGAAATGTGGGAACTAACTGAATGGACTGATAGAAACACTTGCATGCAACTGGTCGAGAGAAATGACCACAGAAATGTAACCGCCCAAATGATTTCAAATCTCATTCGTAATAAGATTCGAAAGAAAGTGGAGTACGGCGTCGACATGATCCAGGCTGATGTGAAACTGTGCTGGAAAGTGGATGTCAGCTACAAGAAGGCATGGCACGGTAGGAGAAAAGTCATCGAGAGTGTATATGGCACTTGGGAATCGAACTTTGCATAACTCCCTCAGTAAGCAAAAAATACTTACAAATATATGTGTTGTTTGTCTGTCGCTATTTTTATCTATTTATTATGAAATTGTTTTGTAATGTGTAGGTATTTTGCCGCGCTTCAAAGAACGAATCCCTCCACAGTTGTAGAGTGGGAATGGCAGGGTGGAGAAATGGCGCGACAACTTCGAGACAGACAATTCAAATTCGTATTCTGGGTGTTTGGTCCCGCCATTCAAAGTTTTCAAATGTGCCCGTCGGTTATTAGCGTTGATGGCACACATTTGCGTGGATCCTACAAGGAAAAATTGCTTGTGGCCACGGCACAGACTGCGAATAAGCGCCTATTGCCAGTCGCGTATGCGCTTGTTGATGAAGAAAGCACAGACAGTTGGTCATTTTTCCTTAAGAATCTGCGACAATATGTAGTCTTCCAGAGACCGATCTGCGTTCTTTCCGACAGGGATGCGGGCCTACTCAGTGCCATTGAATCATTAGCAGATTGGCAAGAACCCGCTGCGTATCACTGGATTTGCCTTCGACACCTTCGAAGCAACTTGGTGACTAAGTTCAGGAGTAAGAAAATTCGGACTTGGTGTTGGGAATTGGGTTCGCAGTTGTCGGAACGAAAGTTTCGAGGGACAGAACAACGACTGTTGGCATTGAGTTCCGAAACACACAATTACCTTTTTCGAATTCCTTTGAACAAGTGGACCCTATTGAAAGATCAAGGACGCAGATGGGGCACATTGACAACGAATATGTCGGAGAGTTACAACAACGTCCTGAAAGAGGTTAGGTTCCTGCCGTGCAGAGCTTTGGTAGACGCCACATTTCATAAAACTCTGGATTTGTTTCAACAGGAACAAAATAAGTCCACGAGATGCGGGAGTCCCATTGCTAGGGAGCACTTTAACGCGTATTTGCAATTGGAGAAGACAGCCGCCACTCATAATATGAGAGTTAGGGACGCCGACAGCTCCATATACGAAGTGGAAACCGGTTTACGGGCTAGTGGAAGAGGGCAAAACAAGTAAGTATATGTTTTTTTTTTTCTTTTCAATTTTTTCATATTGTATATATATAAATCACTGAGGAATTATTACAGGTATAAGGTAGATTACAACCGAAAACGTTGTAGTTGTCGGAAGTGGCAAACGCATAGAAAACCATGCTCTCATGCGATAACAGTATGTCGTTCAGTTGGGGCTGACCCAAAACTGTTGTACAGTGAGTATTTTTGGACGGAGAACTGGGTAGCTCAATTTAGCAATTGGAGTTTTGCTCCGATTGGTAATCCGGATACATGGGCACCGGTCGAGTGGAAATTGATACCACACTGGGAGAGAATGATCTTGAAGCCTGGACCCGGTCGCGTGCAAACAAGACGATATCGCATGCAAATGGATCGCCGGGCACGCCGCAGGAGGGATAGGGAACTGTGCACTAGATGCGGTGATCCAAATCATGTTGTGAATGAGTGTCCGTCTTCACATCCTCGCACTGACAGGTCTAGACTTCGTGATGAGTGGGGAAATTAGATTTGTTAGTGTTTATTCAGATTTGTTTGGAGAGTTCATTTGGATATGGTTGGATTATTTGAATTTGTTTGGATGATTTGTTTGGAATTATTTTGATGGTATTTACTGTAATTTTGTTTTGATGGTATTTTGGTTTAGATTGTGTATTTCTATTTATTTTGTTATTTTGGATTGTTAGAACAAGTTTTTTTTGGGTGTTACAATAGAAAAAACTTGTATTTTTTTTCATCCCCAGTA